CATGTACCCCAGAACCTAAAGTACAAAAAAAAAAAAAAAAAAGAACTTAAAAAAAAAAAGCTTTTGGTGGTGAATGGGGAATTAAGTTGGAATTGATCTTAAACTACATCGTTTTTTATTTTCCTCTGTCTTTGTCGGTGACAAGTTGACAATTAGAACTCTTGTCTGCCTTGTTAACATGCTGATTATGTTTTAGACAGTTTTGTTTCTGTACAGTTCTGTGACTCAGGAAATCCCTTAAGTTAATATTTAATACTTCCTGAATTGTTACCTTCTCTAGTAACATGCTCATTTTGTCAAAAAGATGAGCAACTTCTTTTTTTAAATTATTATGCTGGTTGGTGTTGTAAATTGTTTTGATGCCCTGTATATTTTCAGACAAGTGTCTTAAGTACAAGGTGTGATTTGTTGTTGTAATGGATCATTGGACATGAAGGACTTAAGAATGAACATTGTCAAAATAATTTCTGCATGACTCAGAGTCAACAAAGGATTAGTTTCCAAAGCAGGGGAAAGCACATTTCTTTTCAAAATAAAAACTGTTATGCAAGATAAATTTTAATTAACACCTGGCTTTAAAAGATCTTGACTAGATATTTTCTAGAACAATACTTAAAGCAACAATTACCTTTTGTCAAGGAAATTCAAGTTCCTGGTGTAGTCTCACTGCTGTAGGGGAATAAAATTATTTATCATGACATCTTTCTAGTCAAGAAACTCATTTCACATCAAAAGAATGTGATTATGAGCTCATGTATATGAGGTTCATTCTTCTTACCACATATCCCATCAAATAGAATCATCTAATCTAATAAAACAGTCTAATAACCTACTGAAGACTTTATGATGCCATTTGAGAGTATATACTCTGTAAGAAAGAGGTTCTATGGTATAGGACGCAGTACATGCTTTCAATCAGTGACCAGCTCTCCCAGGGCCAGAATTTATTGAAACAGAAATTAAGCCTCTTCTGATTATTACAATTAATAACCTACTCACAGAATCTTTGCTTTCTGTCTTTGTAACTTTTAGTTATGCTAGTTCGGAGGTCTTGGTTCATAAGCGAAGATATAGGACATTTTGGTCTCCTCATGCTACAGAACAAAAATAAATAAGAGCTACTCTACTGGTTAGCAGGATTGGTCCTGATTGCCAAGGGGGAAATTGGGTTGCTGCTAAGAAAGAGGAACAGAGAAGACTGTCTGGAATTCAAGAGCTTCTCTGGAGCACCATTTAGTATGTTCATGTTCAGAAGTGAAAATTAAGGGTACGCTACTACAACCAAGAAAATGTATGGCAATGAGGATTCAGATACTTCAGGAATGAAGGTTTGAGTCAAGCCATTAGGAAAGGAACCTTGGTCAGGGTTGAACTCAGTTTGTTGTTTTTCCAACACCTACAAAAACAGCCTCATTAAATCCTCTGAG